AAAAAAAAAAAAAAAAAAAAACACACACACACACACAAAAATCCCCAATAGCTTAGCGTGGTGCCCACCACTATAATCCCAAGTTTGTGACTTAATGAGAGACTGTCTCAAAACTTAAAAATAAAAATTTAAATTTAGGGCTGGTGAGATGGCTCAGTGGTCTAAAGCACCTACTTAGAACAAATTAAGCCAAGCAAAGCACAGGGACCACAGTTCAATCCCCCAGCACCACATGCCAGCCAGGCGCGCCCCCTGATGGGCTGAGCTGGCCACACACACTAAATAAATAAATAAATAAATTTAAAAAAAAAATTAAATTTAAAACTAAAGGGCTGAGATATAGCCCAGCACAAAGGCTCTATTCAAGCTTCAGTACCACTGAGTAAAGAAATCAGAATCCCGCATGCACGCCAGAGCTCCACTCTCCATCTCGACCTTTGCTCCCACATCTACTCCCAGTGCCCTTTATCGCTAAGGGTGAGGCTCAGGCAAGGGCTTCCTGGACAGCCCCTGGAAGTAATGCACAGCAGCAGATCAAGAGACAAGCAGGGACAACAGCTACTGCTTGAGCAGGCTGCTGAGCACCTGGACCAAGTTAGGCACCTGTCAGGGGCGCTGGAGCTCCACAATACTGTGGCCACAGAACTAGGGTCAGCATTGAGTATGGGGTGGGAGGTGAGGAGGGTATGACTCCTGCAACCCATGTCCACACCGAGCCAATGTCCACCTTGCAGAACTGGTGCTAGAACCCAGGCCTCCCACTAAGCTAGGTTGTTAGCCCTTGTTTGTGCTTTTGAGACCATTGACCTGCAATGTAGTCTAGGCTGGTTTTGAAGGCATGAGGTAGCCCAGGTTGTACTCAAATTCACGATCCTCTTTTCTCAACCTTCGTGGCCTTGAACATTGTATCTTCCTGCCTCAGCCTCCTGATTAGCTGGGATTACAGGAACACCCAACCATCAGTTTGAAAGTCAGTTTTTAGAGTTGACTTTTTTTTTTTTTTTT